ATCTCGTGCTACTGCAACAAAATTACCCAGCTGTAAAATCAAAACTTTGTTTAATTACCATTATAACTATCTCGCAATGTTTACATATGAATAAAAGCCTACATTATAATCTGTCATATAAATTGGTCTCTTCATTAGAAATTAGCCTACTGATTGCCAATAATATTAAAAATATCTGTATGACATTATATTCTGCAGTTCTTCCCTGTTGTACCGAATATCTATACTTTTCAAATTATCATATCGAAGTTAGAAATTCAAATATTGTGACAAAATTAATTTTGTAGGGTGCCACAAGTTTGTTAAAATTTCCAAAGGGTGCCGCGACTAAAATAAGGTTGGGAAACACTGCTATAGAAGACATGCATTTCTCTGTTTTAAAGTCAATGTGAAATCAAAGGGAAGAGAAGACAATGGCATTTTCCGTTTCAAGCTAACTGTAAACAATGTGATTTTCTAGCTGTGTAATGGTGTTATTGTATGTGTGTGTGTCAGATGAGGAGCTGGAGGACAACCCTAACCAGAGTGACTTGATTGAGCAGGCTGCTGAGATGCTGTATGGACTGATCCATGCGCGCTATATCCTCACTAACCGTGGCATTGCCCAGATGGTGAGTTTTCTCCGGGTCATCTAGTTATTGACTGTTATAATTTCATTAAAGAAAGACCATTTATTTTTCAGCTTCATGCGTATGATGTTGTGCTTGTTTTGTCTTGCAGCTGGAGAAGTACCAGCAGGGAGATTTTGGCTATTGTCCTCGTGTTTACTGTGAGAATCAGCCAATGCTGCCTATTGGTGGGTGTCCCATTTATTTGACTTCAAACAAATAATGTTTGCCATTGTAATCTTTCATCAAAAATGAGAGATTCTCTGGTTGATTGCAGGGCTTAAAGTTCTCCGGCGTGCAGTGTTTGGCTGCAGAAAAAAATAATCCTACATTTAAAAAAAACTTGTTTATCACTTTCGAGTCCATGAGTTCGCCTACCAATGGTGTGAGAGGAGCACAGCTTTCACTCTCAACCAAACTAACATTACCAGCCAATCAGAATATTTTGCTCTTATAAACACGAGATGAGCATCGCAGCACTGATGAATGGAGAAGCGCGACAAAAAGCTGTGAGGCACAATGGTCAAAGATGTCCATATAGCGCATAGGCCTATTTACATAGAAAAACGAATTAAAATGCAGCATAGCTTTTTAAACTGCTCAGAGTAATCACGTCATCTCCATAAGAACGATATGATTGCCAGAACAAATTTACCGGGATTTTTGAAAAGGTCCTGTTCACACATTATCTCTATCTCTTAATGGTAACTTATCAGTAATTTACCAGTAAAGACTGTATGTGTGACTCTTCCTCTGCATTTGCTGTGAATTTGAATTGCTTAACGTTCATCTGACATTTTAAAGGGGTCATATGATGCGATTTCAAGTTTTTCTTTCTCTTTGGAGTGTTACAAGCTGATTGTGCATAGATAAGATCCCTGAAGTTGCAAAGACTAAAGTCTCAAAACCAAAGAGATATTCTTTATCAAAGTTAAGACTCTGCCACGCCCCCCTAAAACGGCTCGTTCTAACACGCCCCCACATATCTACCTCACTATGTGGAAATATTAGCATAATGCCGCCCAAATGTGCACGCAAAGAAAGAAGGCGTGGTTTCAATAACCGCAGTTAGTGTTGAAGCAGCCATGTCAGGGAGACAACTGCATTGTTTTACTTTTTGTAATTAAGACAAATATTTTGTAATTGAAAATGATTCAAACCCCCCCCGCCACACCCCCCACTGCATTATTGAAATAACCTGTTGTCCTGGTTTACATGCAAACTAATAACCCGGCAGTGCAAGTAAACTGCGGTTAATAGACTTTATTAATAAATCAGTGTATTTCCTTTAGTGATGTCAAAACGTAATAATTTGCATATCTAACTCTGAGTATTTAGTTTGTCAGTTGTCATGTTAAATAAATCATTAAAAACTGAAGAAGAGTATTGCAACATGTCCGCGAGAAACTTGCATCTCATATATTTCCCTCTCAAGATGCAGTATTTTGATTGTACCACTTCTCCTTCTGCTGCACGAGATGAGAACACATTTTTATAATTAGTTTGTGGTATATTTACTCCTCCCTTACTGCAAAACGTTTGTTCTGTCTGGATGCGATTAAATCCACAGTAAAGGACGCGCTCCTGTCACATAGCACAAATGCGCACTTTAATAAGCCGACAGAAGACAGGTTAGTGCATTTACATGCTGACTGAAATCGGCAAAAATCTAGCTGTTACAATCGGTTTATGACCTTATTCAGATAAAGGAAAACGTGTTTAAATGACCGTGTGCATTGTCAGCCTAGGCATAACCGGGTTAAGAACATGCACTCAGTGTTTACAAAGTGAGAAACACTTCATATTTATTAAAGGGGTCATATGATGCGATTTTAAATTTTTCCTTTCTCTTTAGTTTTGTAAAAATCGACGCGTTTCAGAAAGGCGGGGCATAGAGGAGAAACAATAATGTACAGTATGTGGAAAATAATGTGGTTTTTTTTACTTTAAACCGCATAAACACATTTCATTACACCAAATACACAAAATAATGTTCTTTTTAGCAGCATCATATGACCCCTTTAAATAACACCTGCTACTAACAATTCAGTCATTTCCCAATGGATAAAATCTATAGTCGACATACTTTTTTTTTTTTCATTTAATATCTCATCGAGTTTCTTAATTGGTTACACATTCTTTCATCTTGACTTTAAATGAGATAAATGGCTCTAAATAATGTTGGCTGAGCAGGTCTATGTGCAGCCGAGTGATCACATGAGCTCAGTGTGAGTTTCCATGAGTGGGTCTAGTGTGTTTTTTCTCTAGGGCTCTCTGATATTCCTGGTGAGGCCATGGTGAAGCTCTACTGCCCTAAGTGTATGGATGTGTACACACCCAAGTCGTCCAGGCACCATCACACCGATGGAGCCTATTTTGGCACTGGCTTCCCCCACATGCTCTTCATGGTGCATCCCGAGTACCGGCCAAAGAGGCCTGCCAACCAGTTTGTGCCCAGGTTTGCCCTCCTTTTATATGGCGGTCACCTCTGTTTAAATTGATTTTCTCACATCTCTAAAATGGTTCAGTTTCTCAGTACTGTCATTCTCCTCTTCCAGGCTCTATGGTTTCAAGATTCACCCAATGGCTTACCAGCTACAGCTGCAGGCAGCCTCCAGCTTCAAGAGTCCCGTCAAAGCGATCCGCTAAGAACCTGAGCAGGGTGGGGTGGGTTGTGTGTCCGTCGGCATGGCCTCACTCTTCTCCAACAATTTTAGATTCGACCAAGACTATAGTTTAAATACGGAGAGAGTGAGACTATAAAACACTCTGGGGAGAAACAAAAACCTTACCTCCGAAACACTGTACAGAAAACGGGGTGTTCCTTGTGAAAATAATTTCAGTTCTTAACCTCCACATAGAAAATAAAGTTACAATTAAAGATAGATACCTGTAGGATGGCTCTGCACACTCTCTGGTCCTGTTTGATTTAGTTCCCTAAGCTTAAGTAACGTTCACATAGCGTTGTGAATTGACATCAGTTCATGACGTGACGTATGGTTGATCGATTGTCATTCAGTGCCCTCCTTTGTACAACCAGATATTTGGCTTACTTTAAAACGGCTGTTGCATGAAAAAGGCAGTATATTTTGGATTTGTTTTAAGCTCAGAGTAATATAGCTGGGATCGTCTGTGACTTTTCTTTGTTGACAGACTGCAAGCTTTCAGTGCATGTATTAGAAAAGACCAGAAATGGGAAGACACAAACGCAATCAGGAAGCTGTCTCTGTCTTAATTAGACCAGTGTTTTGTTTTAATCTTCAGTCCTGCACTCCTTGTCAGAACGACACCAACCTGCTAAGTTCCTCCGGTGTCAAGATTACTTCAGAGAGATTTTACTGGATTTACCACAGACCCACAATTAGGATGTTTTTTTATGTTTGGTATGGGCCCAGGTTTTTCTTCTCTTGTTTAAAGTATTTCTTCTGGTAGAGAGGCGCAAGAATAGAATATATAAATCAGTTTGAAAGCATTGGAAGGTTTTTTTTTTGTTCTTTACAGCTGTTGAGGAACCAGGGTTCAGAATTCACAATAAATGTCTTTTTCTAAGTTGTGTGAGAGTCCTACATGTCTCTGAGGTGTGTATATAAACATATACATACACACACATATATATATACATATATATAAACTTTAGAAAATAGAAATATATAAAAAAATAAATATCTGAATAATAATGCATGTCATATACTTACCTCTTGTTTAATAAACAAGCATTTTCTGCTCATCAGTGAGTACCTCTTGCTGAACAGACAGCTTCATTTAGATGTCAAACCAAATTTAAGGCATGGGTACTGTAGAAAAAATACTAAATTGGCAGGACAACGTTTATCGTGTAAACTGCATCCATTTCACACCCAAACTTTATATAAATACATAACCAATTGTTCAACCCATGTCCTAACAGATTTTGGGTTAAAAGATGCCTTTCCATTTGATCACTTCAGTAGCAAACCAGGGGCAAGAAATGACAAATGCAAACATTGATAATGGCTCCATATGATTGTACACCACAAATGGCTTGAAACGAATTACCGTCCATCTAATGCATGAAATCTGATACGTTTTACCATCCATAGAGGCCATGAATACTGGCGTAAATGTATGTTGAACAACAGTGATAACTAATGTAGATGGATGGAAACATTGTGTCTAAACAGTAAATAGCAAATCAATGAAGCTCATGCAACAAAGAACAAAGTGATTAAACGACAAAACAGGACTCTTCAACATAGAAACGTGCAGATTGCTGCTTATCATGTGGACAATATAAACATTAGATCTTTGTGTAATATACAACTGGTTTTATTTTATTGATTGTTGCCAGTTTATTTGATGTGATATGTATGACCGAACTGACACACCATCCCACTGGATTCTTCACTCTTCCTGAACAATGTACAGCAATTTTCCCTTTACCGTTTACAGCTCTTCTTTGACTCCATTTAGGACAAGAGGTCTGGAGGCCTCAAGCTTCAGGAACTTGATGAAATCCTTCACTTCACGGGCTCCCTGACAGAAAACACAACCAAAATTCAAAGAATGAATATTTACAATGACAAATATACAGTTTGGACATGACAGTTGATATAAACGATATAAGAAACATGGTCATCGTGGAAATAAACAATACCTCGTATCGTTTTGGCTCATCTGTCCGGCCAGCAGCTGCAAAGTATATTGTAGGAAATCTGAAAAACGAAAAGTTCATAATTGCTAGCTACAATGAATATAATACATTTTATGAGCGATGAAGAGATGTGAATACATACCCTTGCACGTCATAGCCCTGCGGGACGTCATTGGCAGTTGCATCCATCTTGGCGATTACAATATTGGGATCACTGTATAGCTGAGAGCATAGAAATCAGAAAAACAGGATGAGAAGTGATTCAGACAGAGATAAGACATACTGATGTCATGTAAGCTCACCCGTTCTCCAAGCTCTGTATATTTGGGCTCCAGTTTTTTACAGTGGCCACACCATGGAGCATAAAACTCAATAAGCACGTCTTTCTCTGGGTCACTGACGATCTCTTCAAACGTATCTGCCACAACCACCTGACCACAGACAGCGACTTGTGTTAACGCTTGATACGAGACTGTTAATGAAGACCAAATGAAACGATCAAGCACATGTGTCTCACTAACCTTGACGGCTCCATTGTTTTTGGCTGGCACAGGCTCTGATTTGACGTAACGCTTCAGTCGCCCAGAAAAATAGTCTTCCAGAAAATTCTCTAAAGACTTGCCATCTCGTCTGAGGAGGGACCATACTTACAATTAAAACCAGACATGATTAAAGCGTTTAATGTGTTGATGTACATCATGGGACACAGCTAAATGAAGAATATTATTATATTCAAACAGTATTATGATAACAGTCTTGTTAATGTGTGTTGAACACTACTGTTCAAAAGTTTGGGGTCAGTACGATTTTTTTTGAAGAAAGTTTCTTATACTAGGCAAGCCTGAATTTATTTGATCAAAAATACAGTGAAAACAGCAATATTGTGAAATATGATTACAATTTATAGTAACTGTTTTCTACTTTAATATATTTTAAGATGAATTTTCAGCATCGTTACTCCAGTCTTCAGTCACATGATCCTTCAGAAATTATTATAATATTCTGATCTGCTTAAGAAACATTTGTGACCCTGGACCACAAAACCAGCCTTAAGTCGCTGGGGTATATTTGTAGCAATAACCAAAAAAACATTGTATGGGTCAAAATGATCCATTTTTCTTTTATACCAAAAATCATTAGGATATTAAGTAAAGATCACGTTCCATGAAGATATTTTGTAAATTTCCTACTGTAAATATATCAAAACTTCATTTTTGATTAGTAATATGCATTGCTTAGAACTTCGTTTGGACAACTTTAAAGGTGATTTTTTTCAATATTTTGATTTTTTTGCACCCTCAGATTCCAGATTTTCAAATAGCTGTATCTCGGCCAAATATTGTCCTATCATAACAAAACATACATCAATGGATGTTTTCATCAAAGCTTATTTATTTGGCTTTGAGATGGTGTATAAATCTCAATTTCTAAAAATCGACCCTTATGACTGGTTTTGTGGTCCAGGGTCACATTTTTGATTATTAATAATGTTGAAAGCAGTTGTGCTGCTTAATACTTTTTGTGGAAACCATCATACACTTTTTTCAGGATTCTTTGATGAATAGACAGCCCAAAAGAACAGCATTTACAGCATTATAAAAGTTTTTACTGTCAGTTTTGATCAATTTAATGTATCCTTGCTGAATAAAAGTATTAATTTAAAAAAAATCTTACCGACCCCAAACACTTGAAAGGTCAAGAAATAAGTTTTGGGATTTTGCTAATTTGTTTAACTTATGTGAGCATATTAATATTCAATGCACTGCATTTTTAAAAGAAAACATTTGAGAAAAAAACAGATTAATTGCAATTCATTATTTTTATTGAATTTACTCAATGCAATAATTATAAGAATACATAAGAAATACATAATAGTCTTCAAAAGCAGTTTTCAGAAAATAAACTGATAACACATCAGGGATCAAATGACACCATGCTATTCTCGCTGGAAATGAAATATGCTGTTGCGGCTTGTGGTGGCATGTCCTAATTAGTCAACTAATATAATTATTTAGAATATCAAATCATGTATAATCTCTTCCTTATAATTCTGAAAACAGGATCCTCACAGTATGAAGTGTTTGTACTCACGTGAACTCCTCTCTCATGGTGTATTTGTTTCCCGTTCGTGTCCTGATGGTGACAAACGGCAGCTCGGTTGCGTCCGAGGCGCCCAGACCGAACTCAACCTCCAGCTCCTCCAGAAAGTCATTACGGTTCGCCACAGAATACAACAGGCCCTGAGAACTGAACTTAGACGCCACCTTCAACACTCTAAATGCAATTGGGAGGGAGAAAGACAGGTAAGTGCTTTATGACTTTATATTTGCTCACTGATTTTAAAGGACTCACCTGTTTCTCCAGTAGTTGGAGCCTTTGGGATTGCGAAGATAATCTAAGTCATAGTAGGCCGTCAGTAAATCCCTCTTCCTCAATGAATCCTTATTCTCTTTGGTCAGGTGAGGACAGAGTCCAAAACTACAGAGCAAAAGCAATCATGATCTCAGCATGTGCCGTGTGTGTGTGTGTGTGTTTGTGATGTGACGGTGTCTGCTCACATGTTGTCTCTGATGAAGCGGCGCAGGCCTGTGATGGACAGGGGTCCTGTGTGGTGAACCACACTCTCCTCAAACTTACTGCTCAGTCTGGGGGGGCGGAACAGAAGCATGGACCTGCAGGGAAAGGGTTTACACATTCTTAGTAGTATTGCATATTTATGTTAATATTAGTATTTCATCCTGAACACCCAGCTACACAGTCCACATTAGTGGTTCTCAACTGGTTTTGCTCCAGGAATTAGATTTTAATCTGGACAGCAAGTGTTGGACAACAAAATTGTTTGTGGTACCAAAGTGAACAAAATTGTCCTTAAAAATAAATATTAACATTTGCATATTGCTGGATTTTTTTTTATTTATGGTAAAGTCAAATGATTCAGCTGGTCTAAGAGAAAACATGATTTCTGAATATTTACTTAATGCACGCTAATAATTTTAAAAAAAGTTTTCTCTTATGCTCATAAAGGCTGCATTTATCTGATAAAATACAGTAAAAACATTAATATTGTGAAATATTGTTAAAATTTAAAATAATTGTTTTCTGTTTAAATGTGTGTGAAAATGTAATTTATTCCTGTGATGGATTTTTAGCATCATTACTCCAGTCTTCAGTGTCACATGATCTTTAAGAAACTATTCTAATATGCTGATCTGCTGCTCAAGAAACATTTGTGACCCTGGATAGCACAATATTTGGCTGAGATACAACTATTTGAAAATCTGGAATCTGAGGGTGCAAAAAAATCTAAATACTGAGAAAATCACCTTTAAAGTTGTCCAAATGAAGTTCTTAGCAATGCATATTACTAATCAAAAATGAAGTTTTGATATATTTACAGTAGGAAATTTACAAAATATCTTCATGGAACATGATCTTTACTTAATATCCTAATGATTTTTGTCATAAAAGAAAAATCGATAATTTTGACCCATACAATGATTTTTTGGCTATTGCTACAAATATACCCCAGCAACTTAAGACTGCTTTTGTGCTCCAGGGTCACATTTCTTATTATAATTAATGCTAAAAACAGAGCCTATTAATAATAATAATATTGATTATAGCCTATAAATAACAAGCCTAATAATAATAAATGAGGGCTGCCTAGTTTAGTGAGCTTCTCACAAATGACAGATAAATCTGAGATCAACAGCAAAAGATCCGTCAAGTGTTTTCATGGATAACATGGATAAGCCTATTGATTTTACTATCCTAACTAAGACCCATCACTTAAAAACCAGTTGAATTCCCTCCCCTTGCTTACTCGTATTTGACCTCATATTTCTTTCCGAGCTCTAGGTCTGTGGTGTGGGCAAAGCGGAAACTCCCCCTCATTAAACTGGCTCCTTTAAGAAACTCAGAGAGTTGAGAACTGTCAGTTACTGAGAAGAATCCTGAGATATGGACAGACGAAAGAAAATGCAAGACATTAGTAATAAAATATATGCATTATCTATCTATATTCTATCCATCTATCCATCTTTACTGCATTTATGCATTAACATTACATCTGCATTAGATATTTTCAATCTACAGAATAAATAATAAAGTTTAGAGCCAACTAGAGCACTTACCAACTATGCTGGCATCAAAGTTGTTGATAAAGTTCTCCAGGTCATGCTCACTATGCAGAGGCACAGAATCAGGCCCGGCCTGTTTCTTCATATAGTTCACGATTCCATCTGTTTGGAAATTATATGCCCACAATGACATCACCAGCAAATCACTTATTGTATTTATGGCACACATAAATAAAAATGATACAGGAACATACCGGCTGAGCGTGGCCCATCATATGATGAGGATTCCTGTCCGTTCCGAAATATTTTGAGTGTTGGGTATCCAGTCACCCCATAGCGCTTACAGGTCTCTGTATTAGCAGTACAGTCCACCTGAACAAAGACCGTCACACATCCTTAAACCATCTTACATCAATCTCTACTGAATCCACTATTAACATTACGATAACACATGAGGCTCCTTAATATTGACCACTAAGATGAGTTTCCATTATTGCAGGTTCAAAACTATCAATATAATCGGATTACCACAGGAAAATATTCAGACTCCGTTTGTAAAAGCTACAACTGCATTTATAGTAAAGCACTTATTATGGAAATCTATACAGAGCAGGGTTATCATAGTAAACTAAAACTCTGCTACTTGAAAAAAAAAAGTTAACTTAAAATTAAAAGAAAAAGGGAAAAAAAAAAAAAATTCAAAACATGAATAAAAAATAAATTTCAATAATATTAAAGGGGTCATATGATGCGATTTCAATTATTCCTTTCTCTTTGGAGTGTTACAAGCTCTTGGTGCATAAAGAAGATCTGTAAAGTTGCAAAGACTAAAGTCTCAAATCCTTAAACCGCATAAACACATTTCATTACACCAAATACACAAAATAATGTTCTTTTTAGCAGCATCATATGACCCCTTTTAAGTAACACTGATAGAAGGTTTAAAAGCAGAAATGTCTTCAATACCTAAGGTGTTAATTGAGCTGTTGTCTAAATCAGAAGGATGAACTTTTGTGTGATTAGGTGTTGCTTTTTCTGGTATCCTTGCACATTCCGTGTAAAAGTTACCACTTTATATGGTCATGACAGATGTGGAAAGATTCAACTAACTTTGCATACTCAAATAACTAAATAAGGTTAGAACAAAAAACAATCTCACAATGTTTGTGACTATACTGAATATCTACAAAATAGTGAGTACATGAATCAGAATCAGAATGAATCAGAATGAGCTTTACACATACGAGGAATTTGTTTTCGTGACAGAAGCTTCCACAGTGTAACAGAATGACAGTGACAGAACAAAAAAACAGATAATAAAAAATACAAATAAATAAAAAATAAAAAATAGAACAAGTAAATAAGGAATAAAAATATATAAATTGACAATTGTATGTGCAGGTATATTACAATAGACAGTTTTGTATGTACAGGTACTGTATATTATGTGCAAATTTGAGGTGTAGACTGAGTATGTGTGTTAGATAAATAAGTGTATGAGTGTATAAATAGTGTGTGTTCCACAGTTATTGTTAAGTGTTCATGAGATGGATGATGGCCTGAGGGAAGAAACTGTTCCTATGTCTGGCCATTCTGGTGCTCAGAGCTCTGTAGCGTCGACCAGATGGCAAATTTTAATGGTTTTTCTCTGTTATTCTCATCATAAGTAGGTAGATGCATTAGTATCATTCACGCATTATAAGCCAGACTATGCTCAATTTTATGTAGTATACTAAGGTTGAAAAACAAACAATAAAACCATGCTAATATGTGAAATAAAAGGATCATTCTAGGATAAGTGCTTTTATGAAATGCATAACAGCGCGTCCTGAAGCGTTTGATCAGCGCCGCAGCTCCCCTGACTACAATGTCCAGCAAAACATCAGAATAATCAAAAACCGGTGAAATATCGGGTGGTGTGTACTGCCGAATGTCCAGCAATTCGTCTCTGGTGAAACTGATTGCAGGGATATAACTAAAGACAGGACAAACTAACAAAAACATAAAAACAACTGCGGAGCACGCCACGGAGGCAGCCATCAGCGTCGGCGCCATCTTGCGTACTTCTACAGCATTTATTGATCTTAGTTAATGTTAATTTCAATATTGACTAATACATTATTAAAGTCAAACGTTGTATTTGATAACATTAGTTAATGCAGTGTGAACTAACATGAACAAACAAGAAATAACTGTATTTTCATTAACATTAACAAAGATGAATAAATGCTGTAATAAATGTATTGTTCATTGTTAGTTCATGTTAGTTAATACATTAACTAATGACAAATGACACCTTATTGTAAAGTGTTACCTATTTATCCTAATGCAATGCCTTGCCCCATTGACTTTTATTGTAAGAGCATCACTGTAAACTATTGTGTTCACAAAATGGACATTGCTGTAGGTGTTAATTGGCAGCATTTCACGGACACTGTCAATAGAGCTTCAATTGCAATCTCTACTGTAAATTACTCACCTTGGCTAAAATTACTGTTCCCTTCAGTCGTGTAGCTGCAGTTTCAAACTCAGGAGCAAGTTTCTTACAATGACCACACCTGAGAAGAAAACAGAGCAGCAAAACTATCAAGAACTCCTGGAATGTTGGAATAAATGACGGCGACGGCGAATAACGCTTAACTTGTGATATAGCAATGAATAAAAAGATTGTTACTTATCCCAGCTCTCATGTTTTTCTTAAAACCTTACAATGCTTTATCCAAATTAACAAAGGTTGTCATAAAGACCGCTGTATTGAGGTACCATGGACAGCTCCCGCCATCACACACACACAGCAGCACTGCACTGAGTGCAAATGCATGCAGACATTCTCTTTATTATTATTATTTTACACCAAACTGTTCTTAACTGCATATTTGCATGTGCAAATGAATCATTCTCTCACCATGGGGCATAAAACTTCACCAGCAGGGTCTCGTGCTCGGGCGCGATGTACTCGAAATCTGCGTCTTTGAGCTCGAGCGCATCACTGCGTCCACGCGCTGCCGAGCTCAACACACACAGAGCTGACAGACATAAAACCCCGCGCAACATAAAGTTATCCATCGAAGAAGGAAGAGAGAATAATCTCCTATGAAACCAACACTAAACTAAACTAAAAACGCACATACCCGGGCGGTTTCCGCCGATATGTGTGTGAGGGGCGGGATGAAAACACAACGTGTCACTGAAGCAAGCGATGATTGGCTAGTAATTCTACAGCTGATGAGGTGTAAAAGGCTCATTGGTGACTTTCTCTGTCAATCAAAGTTCCTCCTGGGAGATTGGTTTATTGCAGAATTACAGTCAGAAAATAAACTAATATTCGACGTATTGTTAGACAAGCAAATAATTTATTGGATATTCCTTCGCATAAAATGATTTGCACAACCTTCATATAATTATTATGAAACCATATTAATAATAATTAAGACAATTCACTGTAATTTATGAAACCTTTCTGTTGATTTAGACAGAATTTTTTTTTTAATCACATCCTGTAGGAAAACGTAACAATAATTCCCCAATGTTTTTAATGTCTTACTACTGTTTGAAGCTTGTGTATGCCTTCAAAATCAAGAATCATAAATCTATTTTTACCCAAATTTCTTAAATGGTGTTTCTTTTGTTCAAGTACTTCAGGAAAATGGATTTGAAGTGTTACATTATTTCTGCTTCAATTCAGGCGGCAGGTCCAGCCTGCACACATCGTTCAAGTCTTATGTCAGTCTGGCTCATCTTCTATCGTTCTGGGCTGGATCTATGGGTCCGATTGGCTTGTGGGATGTAACATGCTGGATTTGTGGAACAACTTAATGAGGTCTTGAAAGCGCTCCAAAACCTAAGGAGAAAAAGGAAACATTGGTTGTTTTCCAGCTATGTGATTTATAACGGTCGACCTGACTGCACAGCAGTGGTGGACGAAGTACACAAATGAAGTACTTGAGTAAAAGTACAGATCCGTATAATAAAATATTACTCCAGTAAAAGTACTCCTTTTTCAATTTTACTCGAGTGAAAGTACAAAAGTACTCGATTTTTTATGTACTTAAGTAAAAAAGTACTGATAGATTTATTTAGCAATATTATAAAGGCTACTTAATTAAATTTTATATTAGCACATCTTTTTTATAATCCTACTGCTCAAAATACCTGGGATTTTCCCAAAATAACCACTATATGGAGTCAAGATATATTTTTGT